CACTGTGCACAGCTCCCACTCGTGCCCCACCCCCCCGGGGGCCCGTGCACTCATGCCGCAGCGTTGGCCAGCTCAGCGTCGAGTATTGGAGCGAGCATGATGTTGCTGACAGCGGTCGTGATAGTGATATTGGCTGTAATGGCGGCCAATATCATCACGACGATGACGGTGACGATGTTTATGGCGACGGTAATTGTTGTTATGATGAAGAATCTGATGAGCTGGTCGCGTTCAACATGACCAAACATATGATGGTGATGACGATAATGTCCCCATGATGCATCAGCGATGCTGTAGCACACCCGCCCTTCCAAGCCACGTCCTCAGAAGTCCATCGAGAAGCCATTGCGGAAAGCATGCCCCTGACATACTCGCCATATGGGTTTTCCGTTCATGCGAGATCACCGTCTTGTAAAAGGATGCGCCATCTATCTTCAAGTCTACGACGAGCCAGATGCGGGACCTAATGTGCTTACGAAGAGTCAGGCGAGAACCAAGTTTTGACATTAATTTGCATGCAACCAGTGTTTTTTTACGCGATTTAAGACGCGAGCTCATTTTGGGTGTAAGAGAACCTCCCCTTTAACAGTGAAGCTGTGGCGCACATGTAGAGGTTTATACCAGTGCAAATGCATGAGGTCTCACGCGGTAACAACATGTTGAGCAAGAGCTGCCTTTTCTCCGGATCCGTGTAATTCTGTTGGGGTTCAAACACGATTTAGCGCGGCGCCAGGGCGACCCCCGCATTTGGACCCCCCCAACTGCGTCACCCAGGGCCGTCGGGAGCTTTTGGGGCGACCGTGCGCGGAGCTACGGAGAAACTCGCATTGTGGAAGCGCGCGCCCTCCACCCGTTCAGCTGATGCAAGACGTTCAGACGATTCCTTCGCGGCGCTGAGGCAAGACCCTCGTTTTGAGCACCGACCGCCCTCTATGCATGCAGTTGCCGGGCGCCCTCAGGACGGATGTTCGCGGAGCTGAGACGAGAGCAACATGCTGCAAGCCGCCCACCCTCCATCCGTGTCGCTGTTTGTGTTTGCAAGCTCCCTGATCGTAACATGAGGACGGGTCTCATGCGCAGCGCTCAACCCGCCTTACCGACGCGTCTTCTAAGGCGAGGCGGAGGGTCTATGTATGAGGAACAGGGGCGGCGAAGGAGGTGGGAAGGACGAGAATGTGATCGGGCATGAGGAGGAGGAGGACGATTAAGAGGGGGAGGTGGACGAGCTAGGAGGATGAAGAAGAGAATGATGGGGAGGGGGGGAGGAGTAATGATATACGGAGGGGTGATGAGGAAGTGGATGGGGAGGATCAGTATATCGATCATGCGTTGTTTGAAGAAGGAGGAGGAGGTGAAGGAGGAGGAGGAGGAGGAAGGGGAGGGGGCAGAGGGGTGAGGAGGGTAGTGGGAGCAGGATTTGGAGGAAGGTGACGACCACGACCCTGAGCAAGAGGGGGAGAGGGGGATGAGGAGTATACTGAGTATGAGGCAGAGGGTGTTGAGGGGGAGGCGGAGGAGGACGACGACGAGAAAGAGGATGAGGAGGCGGACAAGGAGATGGAGGGCCAGTGAGAGGAAGAGGGCGAGGCGGGTGAGGTGGATGCGGAGGAGGGGCAGGATGATGAGGAAACGGGGGCGGATGACGGGTATTTGTTGGGTGGAGAACGGATGATGATGAGGAGGAGGATGTGGAAGAGGAAGAGTTCGAGACGGATTTGGAAAATTGGTGCGTTGCGCGGGAATCGGGGAGAGGGAGGCGTGATGACAAGGACGAAAGCAAAGGTGAGCGCGTGCGAGGGGAAAAATGTCGATCAGGATTGCGAGGTGTAGGAGTTGGTGAAGGCAGGACGCATTAGGAGGAGGAGGAGGGGGGGGGGTGGAGGAGGAGGAGGAGGAGGAGGAGGAGGAGGAGGAGGAGGAGGAGGAGGAGGAGGAGGAGTAAGAGGAGGAGGTTGAGGCGCAGAGAAAGGGAGAAAGGATAGTGGGTGGGAAAGAAGGAGGGAGGCGGAGATAGGAAGCGGGACCAGGATGTGAGGGTGGAGGGGTGAGGAAAAACGGTGGATGCGCGGGTGAAAGGGGAGGGGTGGACGCAGAGGGAGGGGGGATGGCAGGGGGAGCATGGGGAGACCGATGAAGATGAACGTTTCAGATGCAGAAGATGATGATGGCGTTCAGGATGAATACGATGATGTTGTTGTTGATGATCATGATGGTCATGGTGATGGCTATATTGATGGTGATGGCGATGGTAGTGATGGTGATGATGATGATGATGATGATGATGATGATGATGCTGATGCTGATGTTGATGATGATGATGCTGATGATGATGATGGTGCGGTTGCTGATGATGTGGTGACAGAGTAGTGGTGGTGGGTATGCTGCTCGGCTGATGATGATGTTGATGATGCTGATGACGATGATGATGTTGATGCTGCTGATGCGTATGATGATGATGTTGATCTTGATAATGATGATGCTGATGTTGATCGCCATGATCATGAGCATGCGGATGCTGATTGTGGTGATGCTACTGATGATGATGCTGATGATGTTGATGCTGATGATGCTGATGCTGCTGATGCTGATGCGATGCTGCTGCTAATAAGAATGATGGACATCAGGAGGGGGAGGAGGAGAGGGGGAGTTTAGTGATGATGATTTTGCTGCTGCTGACGATGAAGCTGATGACGATGGTGATGATGATGGTGGTGATGATGAGGATGCTGATTCTGATGATGATGATGCTGGTAACGATCATGATGCTGATGATGATAATGCTGATGCTGATGCTGATGCTGCTGATGATGACGATGCTGTTTATGCTGATGATGATGCTGATGATGATGATGATAATGCTGATGCCGATACTGCTGCTGTTGATGATGATGCTGATGCTGATGCTGATGCTGATGCTGATGCTGATGCTGATGCTGATGACGACGACGACGACGACGACGACGACGACGACGACGATGATGATGATGATGATGATTATGATGATGATGATGCTGATGATGATGATGATGATGATGTTGATGGTGACGATGATGCTGATGATGACGATGATGATGCTGATGATGGTGATGATGATGATGCTGACGATGACGATGATGATGCTGCTGATGATTATGATGCTGCTGATGCTGCTGCTGATGATGATGATGATGCTGATGATGGTGATGATGATGCTGCTGCTGATGATGCTGATGATGATGGTGGTGGTGGTGGTGGAGGGATCGTTATCCAGCAGCCCGCGGCAAGTCCCGCCACCATGCAAGCCACGCCCTCTCGGTGACGAATGTTCGCGGGGATACGGGAGGCCGTCACGTGTGACACCTCGTGTCTCCAGGCTTTGGAGAGCCGTGGTGATGATGATGGTCATGGTGATGGGGAGGAGGAGGGTGGTTCGTCAAGCCTTGGTGAGGTGGCGCAAAGGTTCTCTCCAATGGGTCTCTCCCAGCAGTATCCTTTCAGGATCGAGGGACCTGTCTTCTTTCTTTCTTGGCTGCATGCGCAGGAGAAGAGGGATGAGGAGGAGAAGGAGGAGGATGAGACGAGATCGCGCCTCCAGGCCAAGCCGCGCCTGGGCAGTGTCTTTGCGGGCGGCAGCGACGACGAGGGCCCCGAATACGTTGGCGCCGGGGCAGGGTTTAGGGGGAGGTGCAGATGACGGTGCGGGAGACCCCTGCACTTCTATTTCCCCACTTCTTGCTGCACCTCCTGGCCCCTCCCACGCTCAACGTGCATCACTGTTACCCCACTCCTCTCTCTGTTTCCGTCTCTTTTTCTCTCTCATTCTTTCACCCTCTTCTACTTAGTCTCATCAAAGGTGTGGTCTTGAACACGGTGGCTGCAGGCAGATCATAACACAGTCAACGCATGTGTCTGTAAGTTTCAAGTATATTCTGGCAAGTGTTGGGACATGGCTATGCCAGAGTGCTAGTGGAGGAGTTGGCAGGCAGAACTCTAGTTGTGTGCGATTGCTTGTGAACTCCTTGGCTGGACTGCTTGTGGCCGACCGCTACGGCCAATCTACCATCTCAAACGTCATCTATGCCAAACGTCATCTAGTGGCGTACGCTACGTTGTACAGGTGCGATACCCGTGCAACGACCCCCCTAACCCTGCATTGGATCTGGGCTGGCAATCACCACTAGCCAGTAGTTTGTAGCTTGCCAGTCTGGCTCGTACTGTGAATGGAAAGTTAGTGTGAGTTGTCATCCCGATTTCCTGGTTGGATGGGAACAATAATTTGGATGGGGCGGTGAGTTTAGAGCAACGCTTGGAAACGTCACACAATAGTTTTGAAACTGAAAAAGTATCCGAAGACGATCTTGCCGCATCGGACATTTGCCCACCTCAAGTTGCCAGACTTGGCAGAATACCTCGATGAATAATTTACAACTTTCTCGCGGCCGCAGACAAGTAACCTTCCTGTGCATGGTTTAGGGGTTATCGGAGAGCGACCAGGAGTGAGATGGCGTAAGTCTTTGGTGGTCTGGTCTTTCTGGGGAATTCGGGAGTTGAGTGCTGATTGAGTGCAATCACGGGTTGATGCTGTTCGATTGGCCTGGCAGGTCGTTGCGAACAAATCACCACCGCCAACACTGTATAAGGAAGCAGTGCGTTGCGCACAGAGTGGTTGCGAATACTACGCCAAGAGTATTTTCGCTGCGCGCAGAGACTCTCCTAGCTCTGCGCCCTGCAATTTGCCGCTTCTGCTGCCCCATCCGCCTTCCCCGCCATCTCCCCCCCATCTCTCATGGCGCCAACATCGCAGAGCGGATTTCGCTCGGAAACCAATGGGATGTGGGCCTGGAGTGTCCTCGAGAATTTCGTTTCGGATTTCGAGTGAATTTCGTGCGGATTTGACTTGGCCAGGAATGAAGACAAACAAATCCACGCGAAATTCACTTGTTTTTCACTCGCCGTTTCGGCGTTTTGCGTTGAGAGAATTCCACGCAGAAATCCGCTGCAGCACGTCTGCAAGGCGGGTGCAGTGACATCTCGCCCTCGCCCCCTCCACCCACCGATCGCGAGCGGCGACAGGCAGTGCTGCCTGGTTTTCCTTCCCGGAGCTGGGGGAGGACGCGCGGGCCGCCTCCGTGTGGGGCGCGTGGCGGGCAGCACGATTAGGATTAAGTCGGACTTGTCCCTCTACAGGGGGAGTATAAAAAAACAACTAAAAACTATATACATAATTTATGTATATAGCATTTGTGAGTTTCCGTGAGCATTTTGTTCGTCCAAAATCCGCCTGTCGGGGGGCACGATTTAAGATTAGGATGACGTGGGTGATCAGGCGGAAAGCAGGAGGATGGTTTGGTGATGCGGTTGACGATTTCCATTTTTCCTTTTCTGGCGCTTCTGGCGTCAGGTACAGGACTTATTCGAATGATCAGTCCGAGTGAACTAAGTGTCCGCCCGCTGGAGTAATCATCATTAGAAGTCCTGCTTCGACGCTGGAGCTTACATGCTTGTTTTTTTGCACCATCATCAGCGAGGATCTATGTGTTCATGTTGGGTATGAGTTTGCGATGCAGCCTGTGCCGCCGACCCTGAAGGGGGACGACGACGACGGCGGCGGCGGCGGCGACGACGACGACGACGACGACGTTGACGCTCTGGAGCCCTTCTTTGGGCTCTCTTGGGAGCCTCTGGGGTACTTCTTGGGAAGGTCCGTGGTCACTTGGAGCCGCCTCGGAGGGGATCTGAGGCCCTCTGGAGGCACGGGGGAATGCACGCAGCACCCCGCAACAGCAGACGAGAGCGAGGAGGGTGCCTCACGCGGAGGGGGGGGGGGGGGGGGGGGGGGGGGGGGGGGTGGTGGCGAGGAGGAGGAGGAGGAGGAGGAGGGAGGAGGAGGAGGAGGAGGAGGAGGAGGAGGAGGAGGAGGAGGAGGGGTCCCGAGCCCCCCCCTGCTGAAAGGGGGGCCACCCCTTGCTGACAGGGGACCACCCCCTTGTCCACGGGGGGAGCCCCCTGGGGGGGAGGTCAACGCCCCCCAGGGACCTCCCCCCCGGACCCCCTTGGGGAGCCTTGAGACGGGGGTCAATGCAAACGGGGGTCAGCCAGGGCGCCAGATCCTGCAGGATCCTGCGAAGACCCCCTCTGGCTGACCCGGGTTAGCGAGCCGCTCGTGGCCGCGAGGCGGCCGCGCATATTGGCTGACCCGGGTTTGCGAAGATCTGCGTTGCAGTTTGTTTTTCCTGCATTGCAGTTTTTGGTTTCCTGCTGACCCGGGTCTGGATTGACCCGGGTCAGAAGATCCCCGACCCCTTGGGAGCCCCCAGGAACCCCTCCCGGACCCCCCCCACGACCCCCGCCAGCGCGGATCGGATCAGAGGGGAGGGGCTTCCCCTCGACGCAGATGCGACGGTGCTCGATTTCCGTCTGACTGGATCGGCTGAGGGGGAGGTCCCAGGGAGGGGGGGCGGAGCGGCGACGGCGACGACGACGACGACTCAAACGGAGAACGTCTTACACACGCCGACAGGATTTGCAAATTCTCTTGCAAGAGCGAGCCGCTCGCTTGCTGTCTACAGGAAGATGTATCCAGCCAGAGCAATATTACGTCAAACATGTGAGTTTGCTTCCTGTTGAAAAGGGAATGTCGTTATATTGATTATGTTGTCGCGAGTTCTCCTCCCCTTGCCGTGATGGCTGGCCAGATGTTTTTCCACGTGGAGATGTCCTGACATGCTAGATTTCGTTGTTTGCATTGGTAGGGGTGTGCTCGGATCTCGCTCTAGTTCTTACCCAGCATCTTTTTCATATCAGCTGAAGATGTTTCTAGGCCCTGGAGCAACCGTATCAGTGTCCCTACATGTTGTCTTGAGACGTGGGTAGTTTCTGCTTCTTCTGAGTTTGAGCCATGTGAGGATGGGAACTGACAGACAAAACGAGATGATCTAGTGGCCTCAGGCCCATTCCCCCACCAGTCCTGAGGTCTCGTGGAGCCATCTTGGGGGGGGGCGGCTCTGGAGGACACTTTGAGTTCCCTTCCGGGTCCCTCTTGGGGAAGCGCTACAAAGCAGTATTCGAGTTATGTTTTTTTTTGCACTCCGTACCGAGGGGCAAGGTGGCATATTGTGCAATGAGTCTCGACACTTTCGTCAGATGCCAATCTAATCGCTCGTGTATCTCCGTCAGAGAATAGCGGGTATGGTCCTGCGGAACCGCACCAGCGCGCGGTTAATCAATTTTGATCCAATTGCAGTTCGTTCGGCTTGTGTTCATGCACGCTTGTTCTCAGCTTGTTTCGACAGTTTGCATCCTCTAATTATCGAGCTTTCGCGAACCGCAATTCGTGCCGATCGCAGCAGGTTGCAGCCCAAAATTCGTGCGCCCTGCTTGATAAATGAGTAGCGCGATCAAACGTACGTAGGCCCGTAGGCCCTCGTCCGATGGCTGTCCGTATTCGCCGGCGATGGATCCGCTCCTGAGGACGCCCACAGCAGCCCAGCCCGCAGCCCGCAGCGGCTGGTTGGAGTCGAGGACGCGCTCCGCCGCCTGCTCCCTCTCTCTCCCTTTCCCCCCTCTCCCTAATTAGTCTCTCCGCCTCTCTCCTCCCTCCCTTTCCCTCTTCGGTCCTCCCCTTCATTCCTCCTTCTCTATTCATCTTCCTCGTGAACTCGGGGGTTCCTCCAACCGCTCCCGATTACAGGCAGAGGCAGCCTGACTGAGCGCTTCTCGCGAGGCAAACTAACTGCGAGGTGCTCCAATGTAAATGTAACATCGAAAGCCGGCAAGCAGGTTGACACATACCGCACAGGCAGGCGCTTAACTGATTCGTGTGTCATGCTGGGGCTGAGGTCAGGGTCTTAAATGGTTCTGCCCTCTGCCGTTGCTTGAATGATCGGCTGGTTGGTTGGCTGGCTGGCTGGCTGATTGGAAATTCGGTTGGCTGGCTGGTTGGTTGCTGGTCAGCGGGTTGGCTGGCTTGCTGCTTTCCTGGCGGGTTTGCCAGCTAGTTGGCCAGTTGTTTTTGTCGGTGGGGGGCCAGAGGAGGGGAGGGGAACCAAGGGGCGCGAAGGGGATGAGGGGAGTGGGCAAGACGAAGGAGGGGGTGAAAGGAATGGGGGACCACCAGCAGAGGAGGGGACCGGACGGGGCGGAATTTGCCGGATTGAAGGGGCCAGGGGGAGGAATGCCGTGCGTGCCGTCCAGTTATCGTAAGGTGGTCCTTATTTTGTCGTATTGTTTCTCCGACTTGGCCAGTGAAGACATGTCTTGCTGTAGCCAGTCCTTCGAAGGCATGATGGCCCAAGTCCTTCCTCAGGAAGCGATGTAATCCCAACTGCGTGTGGGCAAGTCTCTTGACCCTGGCGACACCTACTCACACAACCTGTCTACTCTCGATTGTCCTTTGAGGCAATCTTGCCATGACAGTTCCCCCGTGCATTGATGCCTTTGATTTGGCATCTCGTCGCGAACTCACTGACGATGTCCTGAAGACCTGGCGCGCTTGGCAGAGCGAGCAGCGCGTCCCTACATCATGCCATCCAAGAGCCCACATCGTGCGGGCTGCCGCCCCTGCCGCCGAGCTCCCCTTGAACACTGCTTTCTGGCGCGGCGTCTTGCTCGGCAGCAAATCAAGGGAGCCTTGTCCGTCCTCACAGTTCCGTTTTTAGCGTGCACTAGCGTGCGCTCATTGCTGGTCTTCGATGAGACAGCATTTGCTTAGCGTCGATGAGCGTCGGTTAGCGAGAGCCATCAAGATGGCATGGTAGGCTCCCATGATTTGCCGCAGAACTGCTTTCTGGCAACGCGTCTGTGTGGACCGTCTGTAGTCCCTATCGTTTCTGATTCTAGTCGTCCCTCGTACCGAGAGGAGAAATCATGTATCGCCTCCATCGTACGGGTTACTGGTAGGATTGGCTCCCTCTCATAGCGTCTAGAATGCCGATCTGGCCGTTTCCCACTGAGTGCCAGAGTACCACGGCGTTTCAGGCGCAGCAGCGGGCCCGCTAGCAGCTGTACGCGCCAGCCGCCGTGTCTGAGGCCGGCCTTGTCATCATTGAGATTACGTGCGCGGCACAGCACCTGCACCTGGGACTTCGTGGACGACCGTCAAAGGAGAACTGTCGCCCACGCCATGAGCAAAGCAGGCGTCGTTATCACTGATAACGGCAAGTTGTTCAGCGCCGCGTCCGAGTCCCAGCTGAACGTGCTAGCTCGTTGGGGTCTTGAAGGCGGCATCTGGGTCCAGCACAGCGAGCCGTCGGCAGCCGGCAATCAGCAGCACTGCCATGAAGACCCGGGCTGTGTGCCTGTGCCTATCACAGGTGATTCCGTGATCATGGAGGACACTTGAGTGCTTGCGGCGGAGAAGGAGCAAACGGACAGGGACATCAAACTGGCGAAGGCACGCGACTAGCAGCAGGTCAGCTTTCCCACCCTGGTATATTGCCTTTTGCCTGAGGATCACAGCTGGAGCCACCTGGCTGAGGAGCTTCAGACGGCTGGCCCCAACCTGCTGATGGATCCCGCTTTGGCACCAGTGCCCTACTTCGCCATGAGCCTCCACCCGCACACGTGCGGCCCTGGGGATGTACCGTTGGACCTCGCAGAGCCTTGCAGGAAATTGCTCAGCCACGACGGGTCCGTGTACGACCTGGAGCTGGACCTCGACCCTGCCAACTACGTCGACACGGCAATCTGGGCTGTCCTGATGTACTTGGCGGGCCTCCAACCAGCACTCGGCGACAGTGAAGCAATTCCACAGGAACAGCTCCCCCCCTGGAGCCAGCGCGTCCCGGAACGTCACGCAGATGGTGTCGCAGGGGGGATTCCGTCCCGCCCGGCACTCGGAACGACCTCCTCCTGCCTGTTGGAGCTGCAGCAAGTGCCGTTGTCAAAGGCACGTGGGGCGGCCGTCCCTGGAGCACCAACAGGCGATCCTGAAGAAGGAAGCGCCTAGGCGCCCTGGCAGGTTCCTCCTCCTCCTCCTCATCCTCATCCTCCTCCTTTTTCCTCCTCCTCCTCCTCCTCCTCCTCCTCCTCCTCCTCCTCCTCCTCCTCCTCCTCCTCCTCCTCTCGGCCCCCCTCGTCACGTCCTCCCCTTCCTCCTCCTCATCCTCCTCCTCCTCGCAGACGCCTCAACGGCCTATTGTGCCCAGATGGAAACCCGCTCAGCTCCTTCAGGGACACCAGCGAGCTGGTGATCATGCTCATCACCGTCCTGGGGCCTCGCGTGTTGCTGTTCCCTCATGGAAAGCATGGCCCCGCCGGAGATGTCTGGGAGGCGGTCCTGGCCTTTCGCGATCCGTGGAGCAAGGCCCGCCTTCCCATCGGCGATCAGCTTGGGGTTGTCCACGGCATCGACAACAATGGTTTCCGAGCTGTCCATGGACACTTGGAGGCACTGTTCAAAGCTTTCGGCTGGCTGGTTGCGATTTCGCTCCATCACCCTGTCGCCAAGGAGCACAACTGCCCGACCACCTGCAAGGACCTGGACAGGAGCGACTTTTCCTTCCAAGCCTCGCTGATCGTCCTCGAGCACCTCGTGCTCGCAGTCGACCTGTCCCAGCCAAAAGGGGAGGGCTGCGCAGTCTGCGCCCTCTCAACCGTTCTGGCTGGGACCGATGTGGGGCTTTTTTGGGGCCAGCCAGCGGCGGCCCAGCGGTCCAGCTCCAGTGCGTCGGGTATGGTGTGTCCAACTCTGGGCGCGATCCCCTGGTGGCTGCTCTTCCGCCAAACAGGAAGACGGCCTACAGGCGGGGGGCGGGGAATTGCCGATGGCATTGTGTCGGGTGCTGGAGTGGCGAATGCGGCATCCGCGGGGGGCCGATGCCGAGCGACGCGAAGCTCCCCGCTTTCCCGCGTGACCTGGGCAGCCAGCCTCCGCCAGTGGGCTGGCGACGCGAGCGCCATCCGCTCCCCGCCGGATGCAAATTGGCCAAGCTTCAGACATTGCCCGCTTGGCCGACCCGCTCCTGCCGCACGCGGGGCCGTGCAGCTCCGCCGCAGTTGGCGCTGCCATTTTCCGAAACTGGGCCAAGGGTCACCGCCGCGGCGTCTGCGCGGCGCGCGAGGGGTACGAGGGGAAGTGCGACGGCTGCCCGGGCGCCGCCGCCATCCTGGCATGGAAGCCTGGGGGCCTTCCGCCAGGCACGTTCGCTCTCCGCCCGCATGGGAATAGCGTGGGTGGGGTGCTGACTCGGGGCCTGGCGCGTGGCATTTCAGACTGCCCCGCCTGGGGTCGTGCCTTCGGAGAGGAGACCTCGAATGCCCAGTACTGATGCGCAGATTACCTCGTCCATATCTGGGGCGTTCGGCTTTCGGGCGCGCGTGCCATCCTGGCTAGGGGCGGAATTGCAGTCCGCCCTGGACAGCCACGCGCGCGTGACAAGGCAGCGCCTGAGGCCAGGTTAGGCGCCGACACCTCGAGCGCCTAAGCAGCTTCTGCCGCCGCCAGCATGCAGAGCCTGGGCGACGACCTAGATCCGCACATGGCCCGACTGGCTGCCAAGATCGCTGACGACTCGCTCGGGGCCCTTGCAGGCCCTAGCGGCTTCCAGGACAGTGTGGCCCTCTTGCGCATGGCAGTGGCAAGCCGGCGATCCGCCCCGCTCACCGAGCGGGGGCAGAGAGCGAAGGCTGCGCTCGATGCAGCGTGGAAGGAGAGGTATAATGCGTCCCTATCGCGGCGAGACGGTACCCCGCGGTCGCCCAATCGCAGGCGCAGGGCCGTCTCGACCCCTGCGAACCTGGGCCGTGCCCCCCCTCCCCTGATCGGGCACGGCGAGGCATGTCAGCGGGGCCGCGGTCCACCTGCGACCGCCGCCGCCTCCCCGCCGCCCCTGCCATGTGGCGGCTGCTCCGCGGCCTGGGCGCCTGCGCTGCCGGCCCGCCAGTCCAGCGCTGGCGCGTCCGTCGGGGGTGGTTCCGCTCTTCCGCGTAACAGAAAGACGGCCTACAGGCCGGGGGGGGGGGGAATTGTAGATGGCATTGTCTCGGGCGCTGAAGGGGCGAATGCGGCGTCCGCGGGGAACTGGCGCCGAGCGACGCGAAGCCCCCGCTTTCCTGCGCGACCTGGACAGCCAGCCTCAAGCAGTGGGCGAGCGACGCGAGCGCCGTCCGCTCCGCGCGGGGTGAGAAGTGGCCAAGCCGTCAGACGTTGCCCGCTTGGCCGGCCCGCTCATGCCGCAGACGGGGCCTTGCAGCTCCGCCGCAGTTGGCGCCGCCATCTCCCGAAACTGGGCCGAGGGGGGCCGCCGCGGCGAGTGCGCGGCGTGCGAGGGGTGCGAGGGGAAGTGGGGCGGCTGCCCAGGCGCCGCGGCCATCCTGGCACGGGGGCCTCGGGGCCCTCTGCCAGGCGCGAGCGTTTTCCGCCTGGGCGAGAATGGCGGGGGCGACGTGCTGACTCGGGGCCTGGCGCGCGGCGTTTCAGGATGCCCCGCCTGGGCTCCTGCCTCAGAGAGCAGACCTCGAATGCCCGGTGGTACTGCGCACACTACCTCGTCCATATCTGGGGCGCTCGGCTTTCGGGCGCG